GGGGCTTGGAGGACAATATGTGGTGCCAAGGATTGAACCTAATTTCAGTCCAAGCAAGGCAAGTACTAAATTGCTATCTCTCCATCTGGGAGAGAACATTTTCATCACTGCCCCAAACCACATATACTTAATTCATAGATAATATCAAAAAGCAAAATATTTCCCAAATCAACTCAAACGTTTCTGAGATTTCAGAGCCCAGGCAATAGCGCAGTGGCCAATCTTGGAAGAAAGATGAAGGCTGAGAGTTCCATCCTTGGTTGTCACTCATGCGCAAAGCATCATCCGGGCAGCTCTGCTGTCTGCGATCCCTATGCAGCTCTCTGGTGGGCACACATGTGAGCACCATGGGGAGCACTCCAAGCAGATTGTCTGCGGACACCACCATCAACAGGAGTGCAACCCCTGGAGAGCGACTCAGGCAAGTGTGCAAGCATCACAACCTAATGTGCGATTCCTCCCAGGGAGCACCAGAGCTAAAACATGTGAGCGCCACAGTCTGGACACTGAGTCATCAAAACAACACTCAGGGGAAGGAAATGGGGGTAAAAAGAAATGAGGGCCCAAATCTTCTCTTTAGAAATGGGGAAATCTGTGGCTAGAGTGATAGAACAGTGTTAGAGCACTATCTGGGTTCCATCTCTGGCACCAAACAGATCCCCCCCCCCAACACCACCAGGGAGGGGAGATTCCAAAGTGCAGAGCATGGCATAAATCCTAAGCACTGCTGGGTGTGCCCTCCCCCCACCCCGCCCCCAGAAGAAAGTAAGTAAAGTAAAGGCCTCCCGTTGATCATCGATTTGCTCGAGTGGGCCCAGTAACGTCTCCATTGGAGACTTTGTTGTTACTGTGTTTGGCATATCGAATACTCTCGGTAGCTTGCCGGGCTCTCCGAGAGGGGCGGAGGAATCGAACTCGGGTTGGCCAAGTTGGCTGCGTGCAAGGCAGACGCCCTACCCGCTGTGCTATCGCTCCAGCCTCCCCAGGAGAAAAACAAAAGAAAATGAGAAGATCTGATGCCTGAGATCCACCTTGGTTCAATCCCAGGAGCCACAAAGCAGCCCCAGAACACAGACTAAGAGAGGGAGGGAGAGAGAGAGGAAGGGAGGGAGGGAGAGAGGGAGGGAGGGACATGTGAGCTGTCCCTTACAGAGTCATTAGCTGGTGAGATAGTGACCATTCTTCAGAGAGAACTGTGTGCCCTTTGGTCCATATGAATAACTTCCTATTTAAGGTATCTGCTCCATCCTTGAAGAGATGTGACTGGTCCATAGTCTGGGCAGAAGAGTCGGGGACAGGAGAAAAGGAAGGAAGGGATTATTTAAAAAAAAAAAAAACCTTCTGTTTGGTTTTATAAATACCCTCCTCTTGGATAGACTGGAGCAGACACACAAAAAGAAGAGTGGAATGTGTGAAGCTGTGAATCTTTGATGTTTCTGGTAGTAATCTGGATAGGATCATGGGAATGTGTGGCTGGGAAGGGATGAAGAAAAACATCAGAGGCTGTAAAGTGAAGGTCCAGATAGCTGGAGTTGGACAAAGAAAATTTTTTGTTTTGAGGTCACACCTAGAAGTGCCCAGGGTTTATCCTTGGTTCAGCACTTAGAGATTACTCCTAGTGGGACTTGGGGACCATATGGGGTGCCAGAGATCAAATCCAAGTAAACTGTGTGCACAGTAAATGCTCTGCCTGTTGGACTGAGCTGGAAATGTTGGCCTCCCTGGACCAAAGTCTGGAACTGGGATGAAGAGAAAGGACTCAAGCCAAGAACCCACAGGGACCCCAAAGTGGAAGCCATGGGAAATAAAGAATCCAACACAGGCAGAAAGGAAGAACCTTCCCTGGCAAGACAGAGTGGACGAAGCTATTTCACATGGGTATCTCCTTCAACCAGCATATTTGTCCTGAGGGTTGATTAAAGTATCCCTTTGTTATCGATGAGCAAAAGAAGGCCACAAACAGCTCAGTAGGCCATTGTGACAAGGCAGAAATTTGAAACAGATGTATGCTGGGTCCTGACTCCACAATCCAACTGTGCTTCATTAAAGAGATCAGTGAAGGATCCTAAAATGGAAATATCTATAGATTTTTTTTTTTTTAAAAAGAGCCTGAGAGAGTACGGGGTTAAGGCTCCTGCCCTGTATGCTTCTGATACAGATGCAATTCCCAGCACCTAATATATGGTCTCCCAAGCACCGCTAGAAGTAATCTCTGAGTGCAGAGCCACAAGTAGCCCTGAGTACAGCTGAGTGTGACCCAAAATCCAAAAAGAGGGTAAAAGTGACAAAATGTGATATTAAACCTCTCACCACGTTCACATTTTATTTGGGTTGGTTTTGTTGTTTGGTTGTATGCACAGGGGCTACTCAAAACTTGGTGCAAGGGAACCATGAAGTGTCAAGATACAACCAAAGGCTCCCACATGTAATGTATGCTCTCAGCCCACTGAACTATCTCTCTAACCTCCACATTTTACTAATGTTTCCAAAGTACCAGTTGAGCTAAGGGGGCTGAGGAGAAATGCCCAGTGCAATGAGAACCTGCATCTTAAGGTTTTCTGGAGAATCTGATGCAAATAATCCTTGATCCACAGTTCAGTAGCAAAGTCCTCAAAGACATGTAAGCCACCGGGAAGGATGGGGGTGGGGTTGTGGGGGCGGGGTTGGGAGAGGGACAAAATAAGGGAAGGGATCTGAGAGCTTATTAGCCTTATTTGAGATTTAATATTTCCAAGATACCGTCTCTTGTAAAATGGGCATAATTACAAAATTATTTATTTAATTTTTATCAGTGAAACACCATGAGGTACAGTTGTATGTAGACTTACAAATTTTTGTGCTTGGGTTTCAGTTATACAATGATCAAGTACCCATTTCTCCACCAGTGCCCATTCTCCAACACCACTGATCCCAGTATCCCTCCCACCCCTCCATCTCCCCCTGCCTTTGTGGCAGGGCATTCCTTTGTTCTCTCTCTGTCCTTTTGGGTGCTGGTTCGCAAAAGAGGCATTGCGAGGCAATAGCTCTATAGTCTATAGCTACTTTCTGCATGCATCTCCCATCTGGGAGGAACTTCCCAACACCCTTTATTTGGTGCTCCTTCTCTATCTGAGTTGCCCTTTCCCTTAGCATGTGCAGCTGGCCTCCAAGCCGTGGAGTGAACCTCCTGGTACTTATCTCGGCTATTCTTGGGTGTTAGTCTCCGATTTTGTTACTTTATGTTCCCCAGATGAATGCAATCTTTCTATGTCTGTCCCTCTCTTTCTGATTCTACAGAATTATTTTTGGAAGATTCCAATTGGTTTGTTTTTGGTAACTCCCGGTGGTGCTAGGCGGTTACTCCTGGTTTTACACTCAGGAATCTCTCCTGGCTGTGCTCTGGACACCATATGGGATGCAAGGAATCCAACCAGGGGGCTGATTGAGTACAAGGCCTTAACCTCCTTTATTATCTCTGGGTCCCAATTCCAATTGTTGGGGAAGACTATAAGCCTGCAATATGCCCATAACAATACTTGGCACTCAGGCTTTCAATGGCATCAAGCAAAAAATGGAAGACTTTAAAAACAAATAGCCAGGGGCAGGAGAGATAGTACTGGTGTAAGGCATTATCCAGGTTAGATCCCCAGCACAGCTTAAGTCTGCTACCTCCCAGCAGAGCCCAGAATCAGCCCTGAATATCCCTGCACCTGTCTTCCCCCACAACCCCCGGAAACAAATAAAAACAAAAAGTATTCTAACAAGACTCAGAAATTGATCAATGGGGGAGGAGGGAGCGCAGAACAATGGCACACCTGGTAGAGTGCTTTCCTTTGCATCCTGCTAGCCCAAGGTCGATCCTTGCACCGCATATGGTCCCTCCCCCGCCCCCCCCCCCCCAAGTGATTCCCTGCACACAGAGCCAGGAGTAAATCCTGAGCATCACCGGACGTGGCTCCCAAAGAAAGAACAAATCAAATAATTAAGAAAAAAAAAGCATCAAGGGGCCAGAGATAAAGTAGAGCGGTCAGCCTTGCCTGTGGACGAAGTTTGATCCTCAACACCACGTATATCCCCCTGAGTACAGAACCAATAGGAAGCCCTGAGCACGGCTAGGTGTGGCCTCCCAAATTAGTCTTTCTTTGTTAAATGTCTAGGGCTGAGGAGATGGCACCAGGGGTTGAAGCACCAGCCCCTCTACCCCATCAGGCGCGGCACTGCGGGGAGTCCGGGAGCATCTCTGATCCCTGGGGCACCTTTGGGTGCGGCTTCCCCCACCAATGTGACTATTACAGATTAGTGTAATGTGTTCAGACACAGTAATCTGGAGGTTGGCTGTGTAGCTCTACTGTCGGGGAATACCTGGTGGTACTCAAGAGGACCACAGGGGGTGCCTTGATCGAACCCCGGTACCCAGCGCGCAAAGGAAAGCGCCTTCGCCCACAAAAATAGTAACTAACTCTCCGGCCCCGCGCAAAACTTCGATGGAAGTTTAACTAACAAAAAGGCACAAAAAGCTCAGGGCTAAAAGAACGTTTCCAACATTCGAAAACGTGCATCCTTCAACTTGGGGGGCAAGGAATGCACGGCGGGAGGCTCTGGGGGGGGGGGCGGGTGAGCGAAGTTCTGTCCCGATTTCCCTGGGGAGAAAAACAAACAAACAAAAAAGGTCCGAAGTTCAGAAAACGAGGCGATCCTTCCTGGAACGCGGTCCCGCCTTCCGGGCCTTGGCGAACCGTTAGGACTGAATGAAATCATCGAGGTCGGCCGCTTGCGAAACCCCAAATCCTCGAGAGCGACGCCGCCAGCTGCCAAGCAGGCCTGGCCGGGGCCCGGGGCCCGGGGCCGCCGCGTTCCCGGAGCCGCGCGTCCCGGCCCCCTCGCCCGCCCGCCCGCCCGCCCGCTCGGGGGGCCGAGGAGGCGGCGTCGGGGGCGGCGCGGCCGGAAACGCCGCTCCGAGGGGGGCGTGGCCGCGGGGGAGCGCGGCATCGGGTTTCAGGGAGGGGGCGGGGTGGGGTGAGGGGGGAGGGAAAAAAAAGCCCCAGACCCCCCGCGGCCCGGGGCGGGCTGGCGCGCGCGATGGGGCGCCCTGGGGCCGCGGGCGCGAGAGGAGGATGCTGGGAAGGAGGTAAAATGGCCACCGGCGGCGGCGCGGAGGAGGAGAGGAAGCGGGGGCGGCCGCCACTGCTGCCCGCCGCGGCCGCCGCGCGCCCCCCGGCCCGCGGCGACGAGGCCGAGGGCGGCCGCGAGAAGATGGGCTGGGCGCAGGTGGTGAAGAACCTGGCCGAGAAGAAGGGCGACTTTCGCGAGTCGCGCCCCGCGCGGCGGGAGGAGGACGGCGGCGGCGGCGCGGGCCTGGCGGCGGCGGCGGCGCTGCCAGCAGCAGCGCTCGGGGGCGACTTCCCCCCGGCCGGCCGCGCCGACCCGACGGGCCGCCGGAGAGAGCCGGCCGGCGGCGAGGCGGCGGACGCCCGCCTGAAGAAGAGCGTGGCCGAGAGCTCGGGCAAGCGGAAGAAAGCCGAGGCGGCGGCGGTGGCGGCCCCGGCCAGGCCCGGCGCGACGGCCGAGGAGGCGGCGGCGGCGGCCGAGCAGCAGCAGCAGCAGCGCGGCGGTCCCGAGGACGAGCCGACGGCGGCGGCGGCGGCGGCGGCGGCGGCGGCCGGCCCCGCGGCGGGCCCCGGCAAGGGCCGCTTCCTCGTGCGCATCTGTTTCCAGGGAGACGAGGGCGCCTGCCCGACCCGGGACTTCGTGGTGGGCGCGCTCATCCTGCGTTCCATCGGCATGGAGCCCGGCGACATCTACGCCGTCATCCAGATCCCCGGCAGCCGCGAGTTCGACGTGAGTTTCCGCTCGGCCGACAAGCTGGCCCGGTTCCTGCGCGGCTACGAGGAGAAGCGCGAGCACGAGGACTGCTGGGAGAACTTCGTGGTGCTGGGGCGGAGCAAGGCCAGCCTGAAGACCCTCTTCATCCTCTTCCGCAACGAGACGGTGGACGTGGAGGACATCGTGACCTGGCTCAAGCGCCACTGCGACGTGCTGGCCGTGCCGGTGAAAGTGACCGACAGGTTTGGCATCTGGACCGGGGAGTACAAGTGCGAGATCGAGCTGCGCCAGGGGGAGGGCGGGGTCCGCCACCTGCCGGGGGCCTTCTTCCTGGGGGCCGAGAGGGGCTACAGCTGGTACAAGGGGCAGCCCAAGACGTGCTTCAAGTGCGGCTCGCGCACCCACATGAGCGGCACTTGCACGCAGGACCGCTGCTTCAGGTGCGGGGAGGAGGGGCACCTGAGCCCTTACTGCCGCAAGGGCATCGTGTGCAACCTCTGTGGCAAGCGGGGACACGCCTTCGCCCAGTGTCCCAAGGCAGTTCACAATGCCGTGGCCGCCCAGCTCAGCGGCGTGGCCGGGCACTGAGCACCCGGACGCCTGCCTTGCCTTGCCCCCCGGTGAACGCGCAAGCCGCTTCGCCACCCCCCAGCCCTCGCTTAAGTGCCAAAACTTTTTTTTTCCTTTATTTTTTTTACTTAAACCGTGTTTGTCCAAGTCGGTTTTGGAAGGAGCTCTTTTCTAAACCTGGAAGGGGCGTGACTGCCTCAAACCGAGTTGACTCCGTTTCAGCCTTTCGTAAGGGCGATTGAGAACTGTAGTGTACAGATAGTGCCCCCTCCTAGCCCCGTTTTTTGATTTTGTTTTTGTATTTTGGTGTGCTTTGTTTATTACCTCTTTTGGTACTTTTTTTTTTTTACTTCCCATAACTTGTTATCTCCCAGGATTTTCACCTTCGGGGCCGCCTTGCTCCTAGAGCCCAGCGCTTGATCCTGGGAGCTGGCAGCTGGTCGGCTTCCCGCCAGTTTGTTGAATTGAGCCCGGTGTCCACTCACTTTGGTGCGAGTGGCCACCTTTCGCAGCTCTTTCCCCTCCCCTGTTAATTTGCTGCTTCTAACATGTGGTCTGAGAGTTTGTGAACCCAGTGTTGTTAGAAGTGTATTATAATCTGAACCAATAAGCTCAGAATGGTGGCCAAGGGGCCTCGCTTAATGGCATAAAAATTAGTGGATTTGTGACAGCTCCCTTTCGGTGGCCCAGGGGCCGTTTTTCATATAATCATGGAAGCTTGACATTACTTGCTGGAAAGCAGCAAAAAATACAAGATTTTCTTATTTTAAAGTCTAGGCCAACCCCCATTTTCTAATGGAGGAAACAGGCCTGGAGTGGTTAAGTGCCTGGGTCCCCATGGCATAGCTGTCTGGTGCCAGATCTAGCCCAGAGTTCCCTGACCCCAAAGTTGGTGCTCATCCCACTACCTCTCACACTTCACAACATTTTCCTCAATGCTTGCAGGCCCAGCAAGTCTGATCGCTTTAGATAATGGAGCCCAGAGGGGTGCTAAGGAAACGCCTGGAGGGGGAAGAACTTGCAGGAGGAAGTTTAGTGAACTGGGGTTTCTGAATATTCAGGAACCAGGGAAGGAACCAAGGAATTTGATCCAGGGTGCACCCATTGCTGCCTGGGGTACCATTTCTGGATTAGCGTGTATCAGGACCTTCGGTGCCTTACCCTTTCCTGTTAATTGTTCTTGGTGAGAGGGAGGTGCCCTTTAGTAAAAATACCTACCAAAGGTTTACATTTATTTGAGCCTTAGCCTCGCAGCTGGAAATCCCAGAGAAGCTGCTAAATGGGACTCCTCTGCAGCCTTCAGAGTCTCGAGAGAAAGGCATTTCTAACCCAGAATTGGAGCTGAGCTGGTGACTAAAATGTTCTTGGTGCGAAACAGGCCAAGCAAGAGGGTATCGGGTCAACTGTGTGTTTTCAAATAGAAAAGCCAGTGGTGCTCACTGCTTTTCTTTTGGTTACTGTTTTTTTTTTTTTTGCTTAAATATTTTGCTATTTCCTTGTGGCTTAGAATGTAAAATCGATTGTTAAAAGTTTTGTTCCGAATAAATATTTATCTTTTGTATTGCTAACACTGCTGCCCTATTTCCTTCCAAAGTGTTAACTGCGCGCTTCACAGGCCCTAGCTCAATCCATACTTCCAACACAGCATTTGTTTACCCTGCAAATACAGTTCCAGCCCCTGCTGGCAACACTTAGCACTTACTGTGTGGTGCCAGGCCCTCTGGAGTTGTTTCCTGAACCCTGGGTGTCACAGCCACTTAGCACACTGTTCAAACTCAGACTCGCCTCCAAGGAATCAGCATTGCTGGAGTAAGTGAAAACATTTTTACCGAGCATCCCAAGCAGTTCTGAGGGTGATCCGTTGTGAGTGGTGAGTGCTAAGAGGGAGACGGGGACATCTTAGAGTAAGTTGAAGTCCCGCAGACCGGATGTAAAACATTCCGGGACTTTCAAAATCCTGACCTCTTCCAGCAGTTGAGTGCTGATGGGAAAGGAGGATCCTGGCCTCTTCTAAGATTTACCCTGACAGGTTAGCCCTAGAGAACCCGGAATCAGTAACCACTCGAAGGGTTTCAGCTAAAAGCTGGTCCAATCCAAGGAACCCCAAGTTGCCCAAGTAATGTTTCTGTGCCCCTGTGACTTGCTGTGATCAGCTTCCAATAAGTGATCTCTGGGGTATGTAGTCTGGTGGGCGCTAGGGAGCCTGGAACTAGCTCAGTCTTGCTCCTTCCTGTCTCCCGAGGCGCACAGAGCCTCCCCGCCTCCTTTCCTCCCCGTCATCTTTTTTTCTCCCTTCTCCAGTCTGTTTCCCTCCCTTGGGGCTGGCGGCCAGAGGCTGGGAGAAAGCCGGCATTCATTGCACTCCCCGCCCCCTTCCCTCGGCCCTCGGCGGGCTCCGTGCCACGGAGCCTCCTTGGAAGGAATCTTCCCTCTCTCTGCCCCTCCCTCTCTCGACTCTCCTGGAGGGAGCAGAGGAAGAAACTGCTTCCCTGCCCATCCCCCACAGGATCTGCTCCAGGGCCTCCTGCCTGGCGGTCTGGGGATAGAGCCTTGGGCCAGAATGGAACAAACCTCACCCAGCTTCCTCTCCTGATCTGGAGGCCCCTGAATTACAATTCCTCGCTGTTGATGGGCTCCCGGAGGCTTGCTGACATACATTCAGCTTTTAGCAAATACCACAGGTCCTTAGTGCCAGACTCTGTGCAAAGTTATTCCTCTACCTGGGAACTAGGCAATGCACTTGACAAGACATACTTAGAAGGAACAACCAGACTTGCTTGGGGACGTCCACACACAGGGATGCTCAGGGGTTACTCCTGGCTGTGCTCCAGGGACCATATGGGATGCAGGGGTTGAACCCTGGGTCTGCTGTATGCAAGACTCCACCAGCTGTTCTATAGTTCCAGCCACTCAGATACCTTTTTAAAAAGACTGCTAAGCAGGGCTGGAGCTTATAGTACAACAGGTAGGGAGTTTGCCTTGCATGCGGTCGCCCCGGGTTCGTTCCCTGGTATCCCATATGGTTCCCTGAGCACCACCAGGAATAATTCCTGAGTGCAGAGCCAGGAGTAACCCCTGTGCATTGCTGGGTGTGACCCAAAAAGCAAAAAAAAAAAAAAAAAAAAAAAAAACGGGTTTTGTTTTGGGTGGAACTTTGGAGTTTGGTTTGGTTTGATCTGATCTGTGGACTGTACCCTGTGGAGCAACTCCTGACTATAGAGTTGGGGGACCATGCAGTATCAGGGATCAAACCCAGGCTTTCAGGCTTTCTGCACAAAAAGCTTGCACTCCAAAGCCTATGAGCTTGAATTCCAGCCTGTGAGCTATCTCTCCAGCCTTTTCAGAAATATGAAAAATAGTCCAGACAGAGAACTGTCTAGGGAGATTTCTTAAAAGACATGATGTCTTGATCAAAACCTACAATGGAATTAGGAGAAGGGGGAGCAGGATAATAATGCAGCAGGTAAGGCACCAGCAGGTACACGCCGACCTGGCTTTGATCTTCAGCACCCCATATGGTCCCCTGAATCCACCAGGAATGATACCTGCGCACAGAGCCAGGAGTACACCCTGAGCACCACCAGGTGTGGTCCAAAAACAAACAAACAAAAAATTGAAAAAACCCAAGCATTCTAAACAGACTGTGCTAAAACTTGGACCCAGAAATTAACAACCACTCCAGGCTAGTGAAAGAATCACAGGAAGACAGGACTGGGAAAAAGCCAAAAGGAGACACACAGCTTGTTAGTGTTACATAAGAGGCCTGATTTTGTGCTAATGCTCCAGTCTGATACCTCTGTCCCACCCATTCATTAAATGCATTTATGTTAAGCACCAACTCTTGGGCTGGTCAGATAGCACAAGGGTTAAAGCACTTGCCTTGCACATGGTCAACAACCCAGATACCATCTCAGGCACTATATACAGCTCCCCCAAGACCCCCACCCCACTGCCACCCTGAGCCCCACCAAAAGTGATTCCTGAGCACAAGGAGTAAACCCTGAGTTCCAGCTGGGTGTAGCCCAAAAGCCAGCTCCACTTCCTTTTTTTTTTTTTTTTTTGCTTTTTGGGTCACACCCAGTGATGCACAGGTATTACCTCTGGCTTGAGCACTCAGAAATTACTCCTGACAGTGCTCGGGGGACCATGTGGAATGCTGGGAATCGAACCTGAGTTGGCCGCGCTTAAGGCAAATGCCCTACCCACTGTGCTATCGCTCCAGCCCCTCCACCTCCTTTTAAAAAGTTTTTTTCTTTTAAGTGAAGCAAGAGAGTTTTTACTGAAGCTCACAAAGAGGGATGTGAGGGGAGAGAAAGAGGAAGTTCATGTTTGAGAGAGAGCATGGGCTTCTCCAGAGTGGATAAAGCAGATACAAGCAAGCGAGATCTGGGTTCAAGGGTCAACACAGGCTTGAAGGGCAAGCCAAATCAGCCAACAATGATAATGCAACCTAACAGTTTCAATTAGGCTCAAATTCTAGTCCCACAAATACATTATTGCAAATCGAGAATGCACTGAAAATAAAAGATATGGGGTGGTATCAAGTTTAACAAGGAAAGCTGACCTTTACATAGAGGTCAAGGATGGAGAAAATGTCCAAACAGATCAAAGGCTGCATGAGGGCCTGGAGCGATAGTATAGCGGGTAGGGCATTTGCCTTGCACGCAGTTGACCCGGGTTCGATTTCCAGCATCTCATATGGTCTCCTGAACACCGCCAGGAGTAATTCCTGAGTGCAGAGCCAGGAGGAACCCCTGAGCATTGCTGGGTGTGACCCCCCCAAAAAATTAAAAAGCGTTTTGACTTTGTGGCCTGTAGTCTAAGAACATGAACAGTGGTGGTGGGCGCTGTCTGCCCTACTGTACCATCAGTGTGGCCACAACTCAGAAAGGGGGGAAGTGATGGGATCCAACCAGGCTGGGGATCTTAGGACTCTGGTGGGCCAGGTTTAGAACCTGAATCTAAGAATGATGAGGAGTCATTTAGAGATTGCGGGGTGGGGGTGGTCACACACAGCA